ATCCAGATCATTTGAACTCCATTATATTTTCTTTGGCTGTGTAACGCTGCGTGGAAGCTACCTGGCCTGTTGCTCTGTAAGAAGATTAAGATCGTTTCGGCTACAGTGAATGCCTTCCCTTCTCTGTGCTCGTAAAATGTTGATCCCCGTCGAAAAGAACATCTGCGCCGATTTGAAATATTCAGGCTGGCCTGCCTACGATTCATCCAGGGTTTAAGCAGACTGGATCATGTGAGGAGCTCACAGATCCTTCAATGATCTGGACACAGTCCCATCAGTGAGGCTTTGTTGGCTGGGTCATGTAGCCCGCATGCCCAGGCCACCGCATGCCCAAAAAGCTTGTTTGACCAGATAGAGGGTGCTAAATGGGCGCGGCACAGGATGGAGAAGAGATGGGCTGATGCGGTGCAGGGGAATGTGGAGCTGATTGGACTTACCGAAGACTTGTACCAGCGGTGTCAAGATTGGCCTCTGTGGAGTAGGCTCGTGAAAGACCCGACTGGGCAGTTGGAGGCAGCCTGCTCTCCAACAAAAGCAGGCGGCTACAATGCAGCAAGTTTGCATAGCGGGGCAGCACAGCTGGTGCATCTGCCGGTTATCTCAGTCGATGAACCTATAGCACCTGGGTCTGTCCCGTGACCTGTCGGCGAGCTTTAAACACTTTACGTGGCTCAAAGTGCACCTAACCTGGCACGAGCGCTGTGGTGAATGGCTGCTTTTGTTGTGTGCGACAAGCACCTAGCCTGGCACAGGCGCCGTGGCGACGTCACCGTCATGGCGGGTATTGGTCTTGAGGCAGTGAGGTGTCACGAAGTTTATTGTGGTGCAGTGGTTAGCGCACTGCTCCAGAAGTTTATTTCCGGGGCCGGCTTGAGTTCCATTCCCACTCACGACCGATAACAGTGGCAAATATCTGAACCGGTAGTGAGCCTCCCCGAGGTCGACTCAGCCTCAAATGAGGACCTGGGTCGGTGTGTAAACATCGCCACCTGGGAGACAAAAGCGGCCTGGGCGAGGTGCTGGCCACCCACCCAGTCGTGTTCCGTGCCGGCCTTCATAGGTGCTCGCTAACATGCAGGTACTTCAACAGTCCGTTAAGGCTACACGGGGGATATTTGCTTGTTAAAGGTTACATGGGGGAGCTTTGTATGTGTTGGTGCTTGTGCATAGGTGTGTGTTTGTGTGTGGGGTGCGGTGGAACAGCGATTAGCGCGTTCAGCTACAAACTCTGCTACCGGTCTTGGGCCTCTCCTTGGTCGACTCGGCCTCAAATGAGGTCCTTTGTGTGTGACGAGGTCCTCGTGTGACGAGGTGTGCCGGCCGCGTGTGTCACCTTACAGCTGGTGAAGTACTGGGAGGGCTTCCTGCCCGAGGCCAAGGCCATCATCTGAGGGCCTCCTCCGTGTCCTCCACGGCACGCGGGCAGCACCACCCCCTCCCCCCCCCCGGCACTCGGCATCGACGCCAGGGCTCGGCGTGGGTCAGCGCAGCGACACAAGGGCTCACGTTGGTGGCCTCATCTACTCCACAGAACACGCTACAGCGCACACTACTCACTTCACACCGCACCACATACTACACACCATACTACACACCATACTACACACCACTCTATACACTACTACGCTGCACACTGCACACCGCACAACATACTTCATACCGCCATGCTACACACCGCACTACACACCACGCTGTACACTACACACCGCACTACTACACTACACACTGCCACCTTACACTAAACACACCTCGCCGTCACCACCGAGCCCATGCGACGTCAAACCACGACCACAAAAACTCTCCACCGCACACCACGTGGCCACGCTGCCGCGACACCTCTTCTGCCAGACGGCCGCCGTCGTCGTCATCGTCGTCGTCATGGCCACCGGGACGCGGGTTTGTGTTGGGTGTGCGGTGGGGGAGGAGGTTGGCTCTGGTGGTGGTGGTGGTAGCAGCGGCATCAGCCAAGCAGGCTTGTGCCACAACCAGCGTTACCATGACGACAGACGGCTAATTAACGCCAAGGCGGGGTGGGGGGGCAATGCTGGGGGGGGGGGGATAGGGTAGGGGGGGGCAGGGAGCCCGCCCACCGCCCCCTTCACTCCCGCCAGTCGCAATTACCGTCACCCAGTGGGGGATCCACAGCGCTTAATTGCAATTAGGGGCAAACAGTAGCGAGGCGTGTCTCAATCAGGCGCAGCCACAATCTGAGAGCTGAAGTTTGAAATCCTCGATCCATTCCGGGGCCGCGATCTTCAAGGCCCACGCCGCGCGCCTCTTCTTCACGCGATTAAATTCCACGCGCGACGGCCATGCCCGCTGCCGCCGCGAGCAGAGACTCGTCTTCTAAAGGTCACGACCCCCTTGGGTCACGGTTACAGGGGTCACGGTGGGTCGGGTCGCCGCCTCGTCCGCAGGCCAAACCGCGGGCGTGTTTCTCACTCGGCCTCGAGGTCTCCCGATTCTTTTGTACGGCTGCCGATGTCTATTCGGCACAAACTCCCATTTCACAATCAGGTGGTCAAGCTGCGTCGGGAGCAGCGGAGCGTATCGCCGCGATTTCTCCTTCGCATTTGTGGATCTCGGGGCATTGCGTCGTTATACGTTGTACGGTCTGCTCTGGGTCGAGTAGACATCTGTGATTAAAATTCCAAGGCAATGCTGCCACGAGATCTTGGTACAAATCAGCTGTTGCCACCCGAACGCAAGAGACCAATTCCCAGACTGTCTGGGTTAAACCGTGACAGGTGGCGAACCTTGCCTTGGGGTAACGGGGCCATGATGTAGGTCGGCGAGTCTGGCGTTTAGGGGGGACCAAGGGGATTCTTTAGGGGACATTCGGGGACCAAGTGGGGGGGGGGGGGGTCACCAGGCTTCTGGGAACAGTTTAGGGGACGGGAAGGTTTGAACCACCAGACCCGAGGGTGGGTTATAATTTCATCTACAGTAGTGGCGCCAAGCTGGTGTCGTGGATCACGTTACTGGACTTGCAATCCACGTTTCCGGTTTAATCCCGTCTGAAACAATGGGAGGAAAGTTTCTTAATCTCCCCCCCCCCCTCCCGACCCACCTTTGTCCACCCCCTCAGCAGTATAAATGGGTGCACCCCATCATCAATCTGCAGGTTGTGTGTGGTGGGGGGTACAGTGTGGATACTCCCACCCGTTACATCGGTCAGTGTGGAAGAGTAGACCAAATACACCCTCTGAAGGGGCCTTGCACCCGCAGTGGCTCGAGCAAGACGTTTCTGGGGCTGCACCTTTGCCTGTACAGCAGCATCCTTAGCTGAAATTACTATCTTAATGACATCGATTGAAATGTTGAGTAGCAGCATTACAATTGATCCCAGGTGTGGTCACCAGCGACTGGGACCATTAGAGGACCCTGGGAGGGGTAAGGGGGGACCACCACCCCACGGTGGGCGTGTGGTGGTCCTGTGGAGCGGGCGTGAGCTCTGGGCGCCGTCCGTCGGTTTCGTTTTGCGTTGCCAAAAAAACTCATCCGTTGCCACTGCCCTTCTCTTATTCTCACTTGCACTCCAATCTCTTGCACCCCTTGATTAAAGATTCTGACAACCACTCACGTGCAGGGGACTTGCTTGGGGGGGGGGGGGGGTGTTGGGACTGCTGACATGGTAGGACCCACAGGACCTCAAGGTTTAGACCAACCTTATTTTACCAGGTAAGCCCCACAGCTATATAGCTTTCTCAGAAGCAACCTGGCCTCAAATAATAGCTCAACGAAGTGGCTTGTGGAAATGTATAGCGGGCAAATACTGCAACTGCATGTTGACTAAATGTGGCAGAGAAAAATCCAGAGAATTCCAAATATTCAGACGGTTTCACCTGAAGACTTGTGTTGCCTCCAAAACGTCGTGATTTTTATTGTTTTATTTTTATTAATTTTTATTTAATTTTTTACCTGCGTGACTTTACCGAAAGAACTAAGAGTATGAATCCTTGCAGTCACGAAAGCTTCAAATCTAGAATCAGGAGCAAACCCCGTGATCTGTATACCTGGTGAGGCAGTTAAGATCTCATTTAAGATGCCCAGACGACTTTGGGCTACAGAGATTAGAAGGAACCCTTCCTGGAGGTAAGACCCCAAGGAGGTGCACCCACAACACTCACAACACACATCGTAGTCGTAAAAACTTTTTTTTATTTGTGTGAAACGCCGATTCTCCTGCAGCCACACAAAAACGTTTGATTCAAAACGAAAAAAACCGACCCAATTCAAATCGGCCGCGGTCCTTGCACCCACCTGGAAGAAATGTGGCGGGTGCCACGGCAACACGGTTACCATGGGGATGGGAGGAGGGGGGAGATGGTCTTCGACCAGAAATTAAATTCGACAGCGGCCCCTGCTGACCCCCAGTCAGGGTCTGGCTCCACCCCTCCACCCCCACAGAGGGAGGTGGAGTGGAGCCAGGTTGAGTGTTGTGGGTGACATCAGCAAGACGGCGCCGCCGGCTGCCATCGCGTCGCTCTGGTCACTCCTTGGCGATGGCGAAGGGCTTCTCGACGGGGACTGTGCCGCTGTCGGCGATGATGCAATCCTTGAGCGGCCGGTCACGCCCGTCCGTCTTGGTCTCCTCCATCTTCTTGAGCACCTCCTGGGGAGCGCAAGTTGGGGGGCGAGGTGGGAGGCGCAGCGGGAGAGACGGCGTTGCAGGGCAGGCGGGTGGGGGCCGGCAAGAGGGGGTGGGGGCGGTCACACCACATGCACGTTAGCGGAGTTGGGGGTGGGGGGGGGCAGGAGGAGTAGGGGAGTGAACCAAGGAAGGTGCGGGATGGATTCCTCTCGATTTGTTTCTAAATTGAAAAGTAATCGCGGCCAAAGCGGAGGAGGGGGATGGACCCGATTAGAGGGCGGCAGCAGCAGGGTTAATGGGATTACAAGAGAAGTGAAAGATGGCAGCATTAGTGGTTCGAGGCGACGGGAATCGGGGGGGGGGGGGGGTCTCCCTCTAGCTGCAGTGCCAGGCTAGGTGCACGCACCGGGGACCCCACAGGCGCTACCAGCCCTCGACGGGCACAGTAAACGGCTCGGCCACGGCGATGGTGCCGCAGGCGGCTATGACAGCGTCGGCGAGCGGGCGGTTGTGGTCGTCCGTCTGCTGCAGCTCGATGGAGTGCACTACGTACTGGGGGCGTGGTTTAGCAGGGCGAGTGGGGGGGGGTGAGCAGGGGGGGGGGGAGAAAGCCAAGCGGGAGTAGAGTGGAGCGTGAGGCAGGGTGGAGAAGGAGCGTGAGATTGGGGGAAGGGGGGGTGAACAGGATTGAGACAAGAGGCATCACAGCCCGATGTGAAGCTGTAACGGTGTAGTCCCCCAAGACCCCCCCCACCCCTCCGTGACCCCACGCACGTCACGAGGTATGGGCGGCCCTGGGCACGGAATCGTGACGTCATCGGCCACCATCACGGAAGCCGAGCAACGACAGGGGAGGTACACGGGCAGCGTCAGGGGAGCTGGGGTCGGAAAGCAAGGGGAGAGCGGGTGAAGCGCACGTCCATGTGCGACGTGCAAGAGAAGCACAATGGAAGCCTGCGAGTGAGAAGCGCAAGCGAAGCTCAAGCGAATTTTGCACGAAAGAGATGCCCGTTCGTGTCAAACGGCACAGAAGCGCAAAGGAAGCAATGTGCGTGCGAAGCATCAGAGAAGCGTGCCCTGCGTGCGTGAAAAGCTGTTATCCCCGCAAGCGAGAAGCACGGGAAGGCGCGCATGGGAAGCGCACACGCGTGTGCGTGCGAGAGCGGCACTCACCATGCCCTCGAGCACCTTGCCGAACACAACGTGCTTGCCGTCGAGCCAGCCCGTCTTGACGGTGGTGATGAAGAACTGGGAGCCGTTGGTGTCCTTGCCCGCATTGGCCATGCTCACCCAGCCGGGCCCGTAGTGCTTCAGCTTGAAGTTCTCGTCCGGGAAGCGCTCCCCGAAGATGCTCTTCCCTGCGCAAACAAAAGGCGGCGACGTGTGAAGCCTCCGCCACACGGAACAATCCAAACACATTCGTCACTAAAAAGGGAGAAATTATACAAATCGCCCTTCATCATGGCAAATTAAGGAGATGTTAACTACCTCGCCTGGTATACTGGAGGTCGTGGGTTCGATCCCGACCCTGACGCCTGTATATTTGGAGTTTGCATATCTCTCTCCATGGTAGTGTGGATTTTTCACCAGGTCCTCCGGTTTTACCCCTCCACATTTAGAATCAACATCACGCATTTAGAGTATTTGGCTGCTATAAATTTCCACATGATAAGCCATTTGTGGCCAGGTTGCTTCTTTAAAAGAGCTACATAGCTCAGTGGGCCTTAGCTGGTATAATAGTTTGGTTAAGCAGGGCCAATGCCAGCATCACCACCTATTCATATTTCTCCCCAGCATAGTCAGGGGTCAAGTTTTCAAGTGGGTTTCATCTCACTGGGCAAGAAGTCAAAAAAAATGAGTCCAGGATGGAGTCATTTGCTATAAGTGACCCTGGGTCACCAAGATGACAAAAGCAACAACGTAACAAAGTTAAACAATGACGCGTATAAATAATCGGCGCAAAAGCAACCAAATTCACGGCGCACGGTTCAAGCCCAGGCTTGAATGGGGAGTCAGGGGGGGTTTGACGTTGGGTTGTGGATGTTTGGCATCTACACGGCTCCAGCGGGCCCAAGGGAGGAGACACACAGATGGTGGGAGACTGCCAGGCCAGATGTTGGGAGGTCACCGTGTGTCTATCACACAGCAGCAGCAGCTGTGGCATCTGATAGAGAGAAGACGATGGTCGCCAGGTACGGTGGTGGTGGTGGATGCGGCAACTACAGCTTTGACCAAGATGACTTCTTCATACTGGTGTGAGGGAGTTAGTGATCGAGGGCTCTTGGGGCTAGGGGTGTAGGGTTCAGATTCGGGATTGGGTTGGGACTTAGAGACTATATTCGGTAAGGCGTTCAGGGTTGGGATAGCAGCGAGCAGCTGGGTT